AGGTTTCAATAAAACCCTCTAGTTATCTGATGGATCTAGTCGACCGTTCCTTATGGTATGATCTATCATAAGTCTATCATATCATCGTATCATAAGTCCTTTAGAGTTTTGTTTTAACAGAACGCACTACCGATGACTTCTATCTGTATACCCACCTGTCTCCAACTTCCCGATTCCTCGGCCCGATCGACGCTGCCTTTTTAAGGTCGTTTACGGGTGCCTCCCGGCTCCCAGCACCCCTCCCTCTTACCGACCGCCTACAAATCGCTTTAAAATGTTAATAAGCAATGGCATTTTGGGATACACACAACCGGGCCGCTCCGGCCGATCCCCAGCCCGGCCAGGTCCTATACTATATGGGGTCTCGCAGTCGCTCCTATGCCCCCCTGCCTGCCTGCCAGCCTGTTCTTTTGTTTCTGCCAACTCATCAATAATTTGCTCACGTTGCGACATTTTGTCAATATCTGCGCCAATGATCGCCGCTTGGTCTGACCCCAGCCCCCTCCCACTCCCTACCATTTAAGCTGCTGCTTCTTCATAATTTATTTTATTTTTATTTTTATTTTTTTTATTTAACAGGGCGCGAGAGTCGTTCAATGATTTTTTAATTGAATTCTAAAAGCGTTGTCTGTCCCTTGTTGGTGTAGTTGTTGTTGCTTTTGGGGGCTACACTTTGGTATCCACATACATACATACGTGTGTGTGTGTGAGTGCTTATATAAAGAGAGAATCAACCTTGTGGCATGTGAGTTTTCTTGTGTTTGTTGTTACCAAGTTTTGAGTTTTTTTTTTTGTGAAATAAAATAAAACGCTGGAAGCCCCTCGAGTTGGCTTCCACTTTAATGGTTTAAGGCGCAAACTTTGCATGCATTTTTTATTATTTTTGTGGTGATTTTATTGAGCAGTAGTTGTGTGTTTTTTTTTTCTTCTCAGTTTCAACTTTTTGCGCGCTCTTGGACTTGACAATTACATGGACATTTTTCATGGCATTTCAATGACGTTCGTTAAATTTGTTACAGTCATGGTTAACACCGACACACACACACACTTACACACCAATGTAGCTGAAAAGAGACAGAAACACTTCAAAATTTATGGGCGCCTAACATTTTTTAAGGTTTTTTTTTCGCTTTTTTGTTTTTTTGTTTTATGATGTTTTGTTTTTTGAGCCACACGGCAGCTCAGTTCAAGTTCAATTGGTAACGTAAAGGCTGGTCTTCAAAACAGCCAAGCACTACAACTCGCTTTTTTTTTAATGGGAACTTTAATTATTTGTCACTCTGCTGACCAGAGTGTGTGGGTAGGTTGGTAATTGGTTATCCATAAAATAGAGAACCCCGAAAAAGAGCCAGCCAATGTGAAATGGCCTCATTAAAAGTGGGGATAGCGGAAGGCACTTAATTAATATCAATTACTATGCAATTAGAGATCGGTAAGCTGTCCAGGGGGATGGCCAGCGAGGGCTAAAGGTCGCCGAAATTTATTGAACTTTTGGCATGAAATGTGGGGATCAAGAAAGTACTTTTTTTATAAGTCTTATAGATGGAGGGATATGTATTATGAAGTTACAATAAACATCATTTAGGTTAAGCAAGTAAGATGTCTGTTTTTAGAAAACTATTTGTTTTTTAGTAGAATTTGGAAATGGCTTGTGCATCAATAAGAGCATCAGCTAGCATTCCTGTATTCATCATAAAGCTTAGAGGCCCAGACGACCGAGGGGCGCTCAAGAAACGATTTGTTAGAGTATATTAAGTTATTTGTTAATTATTAAGCTAAGAGGAGTTAGTAAGGAAATTTAAAATTCTATATTTTAAATTAGAGGGACAGGAAAGAGATGTAATAGAGTAGAGACCATTGTAGTTCGAACATAATACCCTAAAAGGGTCATGCAGTGCATATGTCGAACTACAACGGCTAAGGAACAGAGGAAAAGAAAGGATGTCTATGTAAAATATATATTCACATATTTAATACTATCAGGGGTGCCACGGAGAACTTGCTAGTATTGTCGGAGTTTTTAAGATCATTTCTTAAGATCATCAGCTTAAGGCCATTTAAGACTCTACACCTTTGTATTTATTTTGAAGATCTGAAGCATGAACACGGTGGCGGATGCGTAATATTCTTAACTCTTTTAGTCGATATATTGCTCAGTCGACATCTTATAACAAATATTAGAAACCTCCACGGCTGTAAAAATACCTCACCAAACTTTGGTATACCTTTTTCCAAGAGAAGAAAGCCCTAATGGATGATCTTTCGCAGCAAAAGCGACTGAAAGCGACTCAGTCTCCTTTGTTGAGGTCGCAGTACCCCAACCCCCAGACTCTACAAAATTGTATTCGCGCGGGTGTGCCGGCATACCCAATGAACCCACTGGATGACAATAGCTGAACTGCGAGCTCGGCTTCGCCCCAACCTGGCTCTGAGTTGAGTGGCAGCCAATAATCAGGCACACACGTCGAGTACACACGAGTGTGTGTGTGTGCCTTCGGTCCTGACTTTGCTTGTGGGTCGCCGCAGTCAGCCGGAATTTTTCGATATTTCTCCTTTTTGTTGTTATTTGCTTTGGGCTGTGACCGCGTCGCGTATAATTTACACGTTTTGCTCATTTGCGATTCTAGGCTCGCAGGCTGCGGCCGAAAAAAGAAAGAAACGAGGGAATTAAGGCCCGCACATACTCGGTATGCAAAAGTTACAGTACAGTGGGTACTAGCCAAGTGAAATTTCCCCCAAAATTCTATCTTACTAACTAATCTCTGCAGGGATCATCATGCTGTATTTGGGAATACTGGAAGATCAGTTGGCGAAACAAAAAGTGGAAGCTACCGCGACTGCGCCACAGCTCAGTCGGTCCGGCGAGTGAAATTCCGACAAGTGGCATAATTGCGCCCTGCGGCGGCTACCGTGCCACAAGGCCCATAAGAGCGAGGGGCCCAGCCAAGTGGCCATCGATATGCAGGAAAAAATCGCAAATCATAACCACGGCAACAACAAACAATAAATAAGAGCAGCAGAAGAAGCAACTGCAACTTGCAACGTGCAACGTGCTTTTCAGCTTGCATGCCACGTAAGCAATTCCAATGCCAAAGAGCAACAAGTGTGCGTGTCCCAAGTCGTTTTGCCCCTGCTCCGAGTGCAAAGTTGAGCAGCACACATAAAAAATACGAGGATGGATGTGGCCGGAGACGACTTACTGCACGCCATCGACATATAAAGCACAAGGGTCTCGCCGCGATCTCGAAGGTCCAAGGGCAAATGCCCTTTCTTTGGGACTAAGACTGATTTCAGAAGCCAGCCATTGGGGTTAAAAAATGAAAATTATTTACTCTCCAAGTCATCAGTTATGACGCTGTTTTAAGGCCCAGTAATGGCCAGTCTTTGGGCCAAAACCCCCTTCAACAAGTGTATTCAGAGATCACTTTAGTGCCGGCTACCTGGTGCCTTATCCGCTGATTTCTGCCTGACTGCGAGTCGCCATTCTTGGCTTTCAGACAGACAGCAAGTCAACATTCCATGGCCACTCGCAGGGCAAAAGTTCGCGTAAAAGGTTTCAGAGTCAAGTCAAGCAAAAGTAAAAAGATCCACCAGCCAGCCAGCCAGGCAGGCCGAGCTGAGTGCCAAAGAGTGAAAAGCGCAAAAGACAAACAAGAACCCAGAGGCTGCATTGTAACCTCTAATATCGGGCGAGTACAGTGGGGCTTGGAGTGTGATTTCATTAATTAATAAAAATATATTAAGAGTCTAGTTTATTCAGTATATCCATTAGTTCCTCTCCCTTGCAGTATCTTTAGTCTGGAAGTACAATTCAATCACAACCTATGAGAACTAGGGGAGCTACTGTATCTGTATCCTGGCCCGAACGCCTCGCCTCTGCCCTTTTCGCTCCTCAACTTATGGACGGCCAGAGACTGCGACTTCAACTTCGGCGCTGACTCGTTTTGCATTTTAATTTCAGCCGGCGACCGATCTTGTTCATCATTATCATCATCGTCGTCGTCGTCGTCGCTGCTGCCCCGTCTCTGCATCAGTTTATTGTTTATTTTTATTTTTGATTATTTTCATTTTAGCTGCCGCTGGAGCTCCATTCGTTCCTCCTTTTTTATCGCCACTTGTCGGCCATTTGGGCGTTCATTTGTACCTGCCTGCTCGCCCAGCTCGGTACCTTACTGTTTACCTTATTTGAAGGAGCTGCAGCCGGTCAAAGTCAAGAGCCGGGCTCGATCGAAGTAGCGGCCGATGTTTTTTGTTTTTTTCGAGGGGCATTTACTCGAATTTAATAAAAATTTGCATGCTGAATGCTTAATTTTCTCACAAATACACTGTCGATGATCGAGTTGATTTTTGGAGAGGCTTTCGGTTGGTTTTTTGGTCAAAAGGTTAACAGTTCAGGTACAGTTGAGTCTGCGACTGGGATTGAAGCCCTAAATAACCAATTTAATAATGGAAACTTCTTCAACAAGTTTTTAAAATTCTATACCCTTAACTCATTAGAAGCAAGCCTCTAACAGAATAATAAATCTCTCAGAAAATTAGATAAATGACACACAACTTTTATTTAAAATCCCAGTTCTGCCTTTTACTTTTTACCGATTCTGTGTATATTTGTGTGTTTGCACTCATGTATGTATAACTTTTTGTGTTTCACAACGTGCAAGTCGAACAAAAATTCTCGATTTTGCATTCTGACTCCGACTGACCGAAGCTAAAGCAAAAGTCAAAGGTGAGCCACGAACACGGCACCATGACATCATGGCTGAGCTACTTGTCTCTGCGAGCCAATGAGACACAGTAAGACCTAAGCGAAAAGCCCCCGAAACATTGGTCAATATAATTAATCCATCACGGAGTAGCAGAAAAATGTCACACGCCCATAAATAATGTCTCCAACCAGAGCAACGGCAAGGGTTTGTGTGAAACCTTAGCCCACTCTACTGACTAATTCCATCAAAGATCTATTTAATATCATAGTTTATTAGTAAAGTAGTCAAACTCACCGGAATAACACCAGGCTGGCCATACTACTGACGTCTCCGAGTCAATTTCCTTCATTATGGGGGCTCAACATATTGTCAAACCTCCGAAGTCGTCAACCTCCTCCTTCTGGCGATAAGCTGGTATCTCTCGGGCTCTGCTGGCTGCTGCAAGTGAAGTGAAGGCAGGAAACAAATGGTGAGTAAAATAAAATAGCTAGGAAGACAAATCATGAGTTGTGTGAAGCTATTCCAGCACTACGCTCGACTACCTCTTCCATTAGCTGTCAGCAATTGTTGGCCTGGCCATTTATGCTGCTAATTCGTGTGTGTGTTTGTATAATTCAAGCCCCGGTAATCGCTGCAGCTTATGTGGCGGTTGTATCTGCGAGTGTATCTCTATTCACCTGTCTGCGGGTTTTTAGTTAATTAATTTGCAACTTGTCAAATATAGCCAAGTGGGTTTGTTGTTGATCTTTTTCGCTTCAAGTTTGCCTTTCTTTTCTTAAAGAATGACTATTTTAGCAGCTATTCTTGAGACTGGGTGGTTTTCAAGAGGTCTTTCCCAAAATACATAAACAATTAGAATAATTTAATGAATTTTATTAAACTCGATCCAATTCACCATCAAAATTGACAGCAAAACGGGTTTTGTGATTCCGTCAAAACTGTATCGGAACTTTAACCTTTCAGACAGACTGAACAAAACAAAGAAAAGTTTAAGGTCGTTCCGTGGGCTATCAAATATTGGAACAGCTTTACGATTTTTGATACATCCATTCCCCCTTTTTTAAACAAGAAAGTATGCATTTCAAATGTATGTTTCTTGTATTCTTTCTTTTTATGGACATCATAACTGACAGATTGGTTACCTTTTGATTAAAAATTACTGCTAGTTGCCTCAACAACTATTTCACTTTGGAATATAATAGTATTAACACTTGTAGGCCACTTGTTGCACTGCAATGATTTATTTTCGGCCAGGCACTAATTAATTTAAAGCTTAATTCTCGATCTCGGTGGAGATAATATAATTTGCACAATTAACATTTGTGTTTTGTAGCTTTGAACTTTCGAAGCATTGTTTATTTCATTTTGTTTGTGACTTTTGACTTTTAAACTTGATTTTTTGCGTTTCACTTTTGTCGCTCGATTTGCGTAAGATTGGGATTGGGGATTTCTTGGCGTTATCACTTATTTCTCTCGTTTTTTACCACCACTCTCTCTCTTTGGCTAGCCGGGTCGGTCGCTCCTGCCTGATTCATTAATTGGTGGTCACGTGCCCAGCTTCCCAAAGAGACCTGTATGTATCTCGGCGCTGCAAAGTGTCGTTAGACACGTGAGTTTGTGTAAAAAAACATAAAAATATAAATATCCACAAACAACGGTCACAAAAACAATACGCGGAATATCTGTCCGCGTGTGCTTTGAGGGCCGAGTGAGTTTTTATCTCTTCGGGGCTATTTTTAGTCGGGATTAGTTGCGCCGCACTGTGGCCTTTTTCCTCCTTTTTCCCGGCAAAGCTGTTACCGTTACGGTTATGTGATTTACACCCTCGGTGGCCGGGAACTTTCTTTTTTACACAACTCGGACACGAAATTGTCGTCACTCCGAGCAAAGAGCACTGAGCACTTTTTGTCAACCCACTTGGCCTGTGTGGTGCTTAGGCGCGCGCCGCGGGTCGGGGATCGCTGATCGCTACTCGGCCCATTGAGAATCACTGATAAAGCGCCAGCCTATGCTTTTTTCGAATTTGCACGAGTTTTCGAATCTGACCGCCGCAACGACTCGACAACGACCGAATCCATACTGAGCCGAGTGCCGAGAGCGTCCCCAACAAATAAGACAAAACGAGTATGAGAGATATCTCATCAAGTCGAAGTTTGTATACTCTCTCGGTTGGGTTGGGAGACCACTTTGACTTGATATTATCGCTTGCCTTACAATTAGTTATATCAATAAGACGTAGGCGAAAAAAGATGGTAAAATATTACTACTATTACTCTTAAAACTAGTTAAAGTAAGCTATTGTGTTGGAGTAAAAAAGAATGTTTCAGAAACATAATTTGACCAGATTTGGAGAAAACGTGGTTCAAGACTGAAAATATATGAATTAACGAGAAAAAAAGTGCCTAAAAATGAATCACAGAATCATTTTTCTATAAACTCCTTGTTAAAATGGAAAATGTTCTTGGAAACTTGACAAAAATTGGTCTTAACATGTTTATGATACATTTAAGAAAATTTAACAAAAAATATAATCTATAAAAGTAGAAAATATAAATCAAGATAATAAATTATAGATATAATAGACTGATTAAGCCTTCTTTCTTAAGCCATTCCTATCTTAAGGAACTATTTACGCTTTATATGCATAATTTGTATTTGTAAAAGCTCCTTTCCGCACAACAAGACTCCAAGATAGAGTATTAAGAGAATCGGAGAAACAACAAAACAAACGATACTCCAAGCACACGTGCAGCCAAGAGAGCGAGTATCAAAGAGCCGGAAAACAGCTGTGTAGCAAAACAAACGGCGTGAAGAGATTGGGGCTTAAGAGAGCGTGGGGCTTTATCATTACAGTAAGTGGTCGGGCCAATGACAGGTGTTTAAGGAAATGTATATGTAATATTAACTTAATTGGGTTTTATCTCAATCTGCCAACGTCAAAAAATGTGTACAAGATTTAATAAAGTTTTTGTTAAGATCTAATAAAGGACTATTAATTAAAAAAACATATTTAATCTGTTGACAATTATTTTTAATAAAAGTCACCAAATTCTCCAGGGAAAGAGTCGTAGTTTTTACTTTCTATGAGTACTGAGTTCGCACTGTATTTCTGGCTCCACGGCCGAATGGCTCTCTCGATTTAATCCCGTCTCGCTCTCTCCGATCCCCCACACACACACTGCAAAGGGTTCACTGAAGGTCAGATGGTCAGAGTTCAAGTGGAAGTGGAAATGAGCTGGCGAGAACGATAAAGTCGTAGAACAGCCAGCTACAACTTCAGAAGACCCCTCTCGTAAAAAAAGGTTGGGTGGGTTAGGTCGGACCGGGCGGGGCGGGGAAAGGTGGTCGGCAGGGGGAGGGGGTCCAGGGTTAATGGATAACAAAGTGTAGGCGTATTCTGTAACTGTATTTGTATACGGGGGCATATCTGTGTCGTCGCCGGCCATTTGATACTTTGGCCTCGTCACTCGTCAATCAACACAAAGCTATGTAGTATGTGGGTGGGAGGGGAAGTGGGGGTGGGGTGGGAGTGGGAGGCAGACATATTGCAGTTGTTCGATTGTTTGCCGCTGTTTTTGTTGCTGCTGCTGTTTGGCGGTGTTGCATTGCACTTTCCTATTTGCCCAGTTGTTGTTCGATTGAACTTCGCAACCAAACCAACAAGCGCTCGAATCGGAAACATATGCATATTAATTGCCCATATCGCATTATTCTAATGAAAAATCGTTGTTCCCCCACTCCCACTCCCACTCCCGCCCCGACCCCGGCCCAAGGCTTTTCAATCGAAAGACTAAATTCGAAGTAATGGTAATTGATTCGCCTGCTCAGGTAGCCTGGAGATCTTTAAAATATAAGATCCTTTCCAAGCACTACTATCTTTTGAAAAAATTAACTAAGCCTCTCGTACTTTTCCATTGCAAACATGATGGGAATACGCCAGAGAGATGCCCCGTGCCAGGCTATAATGAAATAAATATATGTATAAATATATACTACATGTACAATATATGGAAGAGGACGTATATATAGCCAGGCTGCCAGTCTACAGATGCCAGATCCGCACACTTAACCCAAAGCGAAGCCAAAAAGACGAGCGCAGGCGACCAGGCCATGACGGGCTGGGATCTCTGCGTCGACCAACGACCAACGACCGACGACCGACAATGCGACCTGAGTTGGCGGCGAAATATTTTTAGAACTCTGAAAGCGACGACGACGGCGACGATATCGTCGTCGCGGGGTGACGGCGGGTTGGCATGGGGGGCAAAGGGGACATGCATATATTGTGGCACTGCGGTATCTATATCTCTGGCTGTCCCAACCCGGGTCTGTTGTTTTTTTTTTTGCTCGTATACCTATATTTTTTTGCAGGGCGCTCGCAGAGAGAATCGGAGAGGTCAGAAGGTCTGTGATCTTTTGCAAGTTCGCTTGAGCGAAAAAAAACAATTCTCCGAACTGCCAAGAAGAACAAAAGGCAGCGTGCCCCTTTCAAGTATCTCTGAGATACATTTTTGCTGGTTATATGTGCTCTGGGGATATATGTGGGTATCTTATAGAATCAAACTATATAAGTATTTAATATTTTAGTTAAATGGCAGTTCCTTTTTTGGTAGTTAGGGAGGATATAATAGTTAGGATGTGAATTACACAGATCTTCTAGATTTACACGCCTTGATTAAGCTTCAAGAGCAAGTGTTACCCGTTTTGTTGTTTTTAACACCTCACAGATTGCATTATTTGTTCAACAATTTGTCAATGAGAAACGGCAATAAAAAATTAATCTATCTAGTTTAAACATCTATTGGAAAGTTTAAAGATATTATTAAAATACCGGGTATCTCCTCTAATTGCAATTCAAATGATATGAAATACATATGTATGTCTGGCTATGTCTCTACATCCACGCAGTACTTCAATGAATCAAATAACGAAGAAATATTAAGAGCAGATCGAAGTCTTTGCCTGGCAATGCGAGAGGGCGCAGTGTCACCTGGAGATGAAAAATAAAACACCTTCGTCTACGGCTGACAACCTGGACGCAGATACCGGAGAATGCCATCAGGCGGCCTCAAGGGGGTGAGGGGCGAGTCAGGGTGTGTTGAAGTATTGCTCGTGTCGCCAAACGTATTTGTGTGGGACGATCACCAAAGATTGCCAAATCGCAGGCCCCAGCAAGAGAAGGCCGAGTGACATAAACTGGTACAGAGACTGATGCCTCTTTTTCCGGCCAGTTCATACTCATTGGAAGGGGAACACGCGCCTCCAGGAACTTCAAGGAAAATGAACTGCACATGAACTTGCATGAGGTAAAGGGACGACATGTTGTTGGCTTGTCCCACTGGGGATCCCACTTACTAATCCCTTATTTCGGTGGTATTTTATTGGGTTAGGGGACTACTTATAAGGTGACGAACTCAGAGAGATACTGGAGAGATACGACTTGTGTGGGATTTAAAATATGCATCTGACTTTATTTCTTGGTGATATTCTAGTTTTTTTGAAGATGGATTGGCACAGTAATGCTCTGTATTGACTTTACGATTCAAAGACAGTGGTGGCTGGGTAGGTACGACTGACAAAATGTCAAAAATGTGGTAGGATCGTCAGTCAGTCACCTCGAAGCAAAATTGAAGCGTTGGCGCAGCCCCATACACACAAGCACTTGCAGTTTTTTTTTTTTTTTTTTTGCTTTTTGCGTGCATCTAAAAATAAAGCAACACTGAAAATGCTAATGCCAAGCAACCAACCAAGCGACCGACCGACAGGCCGACCGAACGACCGACATCGACCGATGCCCAGACCTCAAAACGAACACCCATTTGCCCTCACACAGATACTCACAGGCGCAGAGCTGCACACATGCAACCATGTCCCCAAAATGACAGCGACATATTGCGCGCCTCGAGTTCACTTCACGAGAGTTGCAACTGATCTGAATATAGTCAAGGGGCGTGAGTGGGTCTGGCACACTCTATGGGTATGGGTGGAAGTGGATATTGAAGCCTGTATTGCAGCTATATAGTGCTTCTTAGAAGAAAATTAATATATTTTTGACTTATTTGTTAGGAACACTAAACCCTTATCCAAGCTAACCGAAATAAGCTCACCTTTCACCCACTTTTTGTGCGTCATCCGCATTGAGGGCCCGTGACCCACCTAAGACAGGCCTAATCCAAATCCAGCCCTACCAAACCTGTAGCCAATAAAAAGGGAAATTAGGCGCTTGGCCGATCCATGACGGCATATAAATATTTATATTAAAAAACAAAACAAAGTCAGAAACTGAAGCAGAAACATAGGCAGCCATTAACACGTTTCTGCTATAAACTCTGGAGGAGACTAGACACAACAGCAAGAGATACGTTAAAAAAACATTAATAAAATGGGGATAAGCTGTAAAGTTCATTAAGATCCTAAAACTTGAATTTATGCGTCTGGAAGACAATCCATTTCATTAGAGCCATTGCCAGGTAAGTGAGCAAACCTTGAATTCTTGCCGTTTAATCCGAATTTTTCATTTCAATTCCAAGCAATTCTTTGAAAAATCTGTGTGACCTTTTTGGAAGTCTTGACTTCCGTTTAGACAAGTGCAGTTTGTGAATGGAATTCGCCAGCTCACGGAAAAAACCGAGGGTGAGAAGCAGATCGGATATCATCATATAATCAGCCGCATAACTGCTTACCCCACAGTCGCTCGAGTCACTTGAAAAACGAACAAAAATACTGTCCCCTATTTAGATATATATGTATTTATATCCATATATGGTGACAGTTTCAAGAGTTTCCTGCGCCCTGACGCTTTTTCTTTTATTCTTGCCGTGTCATTAGCGGACTCCCAAATAAATATTTGAGGAAAACAAAACCTCTGCATCAGAGCACAACTTTATCATCATCCCATAACCCGTTCTGGCCCGAAACGAGGAAAAATAACAATAATAATAATAACGAAAAGACGCTTCTTATTTGCCAAAGATCAGTTCGCTCTTGTTTCGCCTCGAGATGAATTCAAGCGCTGGGTAAACCGATTCGGCTCCCCGTCTGCTGACTCTGACATTTTTGTCACATGAACTTGCCAGA